TGTAGCACTGGTGCCTGGAAAGTTAATGCAAGTACATTGACAACTAGAGAGAATTCGGGTCAGACATTTGATTTTTGGATCAAGTATTAATATTGTATAAGTGCTTAATGGCACTGACACATAGGATATGTAGTAGAGCTATGGCAAAGTGTAATTATATTAATGCACAAGGTATGCGTAAACGAACGTGTGTTCTTCACATATACAAGTATAGTATGTTTTATAATCTAGTAATCAAAGTAGTTGTTCATTAACTTATGTACTCGTGGTTGCTATTTTCTACTAATCAATAAATTGAAAAGCAAAATGTCAGTTCAATCCAAAATGTTATTAAATGCCAAATCTATATTGGTTATATACTAATACTACCAACGATATATACTGCTTGTAATTTAAATTATAATTGTAAATTGTTTTGCCGATAGTTGTTAAGCATAATTACCTTATAGTAATTGTGTGAGGTTCTTCTCTTCGGATACTAAACATTATATTATTAAAGTATGTATTTAGTTATTGTTAGCTCATCTAACAATATTAGGGGGAAGTTTAGTAGTCTACTCTAATCTAATCTGAACCTCGATAATCTAGACCTTTTTTAACCGGGATACTTGAAGTGAAATGTTAATATATCACTTTATTATATCTGGGGCCGAAATCATAGATATGGTTCATTCGGACTTACTTTATAATTCTTTTTTATAAATTTCTTAATTGTTAAAAATGACTAGTATGTTTATTATCCAGTTCAACAACACATTGTTCATTATATTGTGAGGTCTTAAAGGTCTTATAAATATGCGCTATAGGCAAAAAGAATATTAGAGCTTATTGCAGACTTGTCATTGCATGGTATTAGCTAGCATTAAGTACATTTGAAGTAAATGTAAGAAACTTAATACCACTGTTTGCCATAAAAGTAATCTTTTAATATTTGAGTTTTTTTCCGAGGGAAATAGCTTATATTTGAATCAAATGCGGATGTGTTTTCTCGATCATTTTGAGTCAGTTAAATAAACTGACATTAATTAGTACTTGAAGTGAAATGTTAATATATCACATTATTATATCTGGGGGCGAAATCATAGATATGGTTCATTCGGGCTTACTTTATAATTCTTTTTTATAAATTTCTTAATTGTTAAAAATGACTAGTATGTTTATTATCCAGTTCAACAACACATTGTTCATTATATTATGAGGTCTTAAAGGTCTTATAAATATGCGCTATAGACAGAAAGAATATTAGAGCTTATTGCAGACTTGTCATGGCATGGTATTAGCTAGCATTAAGTACATTTGAAGTAAATGTAAGAAACTTAATACCACTGTTTGCCATAAAAGTAATCTTTTAATATTTGAGTTTTTTTCCGAGGAAAATAGCTTATATCAATCAAATGCGGATGTGTTTTCTCGATCATTTTGAGTCAGTTAAATAAACTGACATTAATTAGTACTACTTAACATTTACAACTATTAATTAATAATATGTTCGATATGTGGCAAAGAAACATTGTACATTTTGTTGAATTTGTGCAAAGTTGATTTGGGAATAATTTGCACTTTGCTTCCTACCGCAAGAAATTTAAGTTGCTGTTATTATCTGCTGGCAAGTTGGTCGCCTAAGTACTTGCTCCTTGACTGTCGGTTGGTTCTCGGCTTGTCACTCAAATCGAAAAGCAAATAACTTATCTGAAGGAGCCCTTGAGCCGTGCTCGGCTTGGTCGGTGCCGTGCCAGTAACTGCTGCTGCCGGATTTATTAATGCATTGAAATCTTCGGCAGTCGACATCATTATTTTTTATACACTTCGATGGCAGTCATGCGCAAGTATGAATTTACAATTTGTCTTGGATGCGGTTGAATGTAAGTACACAGAAAAATTAATGAGGAAGGCGTATGCATGATTTATGTCCGGAAAGAATGCAATCGAATTTTCAATGTCGATTTTGTATCTTAAAGCTTGCATAACTGTGGCGTAAAGCTGCACGTTCCCATCTCTCCAGCAGCCATTTGAAAGCTGAAGGTTCAAGAAGCGCAGATAAATCAAGTCTAGTTGCAGTTCAGAAAAGTTTTTGACGCATATAATTTATACTGTGCTTAACCAGGACCGATGTGCAGCAGCATGGATTAGGCCAGATGATATACGGGTCTGGCGCGTGAGCCGATTGTTCTTTAGTCGACGTCATAAAGGTGTACGCTACTGCCTGATGCTTTTTATGACAATGCCGTCAACTGGCCAAAAATGGAAACAGAATCTACAGCAGCACCAGCGCAAAATAACAGCATCGAGGTTGACTTTATGTGGCATTGCGTCACAGCCTCATGCACAGGTGCTGCCTTCAACACACACACACACACACACAAACACACACGGTCGCATATGTGTGTACCTCTGCGTGCTGGTGGTTCTACATTAAATGCCATAAAAAATTCATAAAATGCAGTTCACGAGAAACCAAAAACACCACACTATCCATGATGTTGGGAATGGCACCCATGCTCTACTCTCACACCTATGCGCACCTACATATACATATGTACATATACGTATATAGCCACACACACACACAGTAAGACATAAATTTTTAAAGTTTATAATGTGTGCATAAAAAGTATTTACGAGCACTACTTGGCCAAAAATGCTGTTATAGTTTTTATGAGGCACGCATACACGCCACGAACCGCAAGCGGAGTCCGCTCCTGACAGAAAAGCTCGTAAATGGTCAGGATGTTTAACTTAAATAGCAAGAGAAACACTGGATCTTTTGGGTCGGATTTGGTAATGTCGGAGTCAAAAGTTAATAACATTTCACTATGTTGGCATGAAACATATTTTGACATCTCTAAGATATTTTCAGTTAAAAGTCTGCCGCATTGGCAGAATTTTATCTTTTAATTACGTTTATGTGAGTTTGACACAATTGTATAGAAGTGCACTATTTATTTAAGGATAATAAGGATCCTTACTTGTTAAATTCTTATAGCCAGTACCCAAAGGGTAAAAGGCTATACTAGTTTTGTGCGAATGTATGTAACACATAGAAGGAGGCGTGGCAGACCCCACAAAGTATATATATTATTGATCAGGAAGACAAGTCGAGTCGATATAGCCATGTCTGCTCGTCCGTCCGTCTGTATGAACACAAGGATCTCAGGAAGTACAAGAGCAAGAATAACCAAACTCGGTATCCAGATTGTCCCAAGTCCGAGAAAGGACGAGTTTGTGTTTTTTTCTTCGGATAAACATGTCTTCTATGTATGTATTAAATTAATTAATTTAATTTTTTTTTAATAATTTAATTTTTTTAAGTATTTTTTTTTTTTAATTTTCCTTTTTTGTGGAGAGTACAGGCTATTTTACTGTCGAGCTTGCTCCACTGTAGCGTTCTCTCTTGTTTATAATTAATTTTCAGTTATAATGAACATTAAAATATACACTCATTTATTAGAATGGACTATTTACCTGTTTTATTGTCAGCTGTGTCAAAACTATACAAATTAATGCGGGTCATATTTGTTTATAGTAGTATAAAGTTCTTTGGAATTTAATAGTTTTATTGAGTTCAATTAAATATAAAACAGCAATAATTTATGTTTAGGCAACAGAGCAAATGCCTCCAGTCAAAGTTTTGAAAGGCAGAAGTTACAGATATAAATACTCCCATTTCCGATTATATTGAAAAAGTAAGAAATAATAATGACGTTTAAGAATAATAAACGTATTAGGAATGATAAAAATTCCAAGAGGAAACAATTTAATGATCGATTAAAAAGTCGCTGTTAAGAATAATGAACTTCTTGCGAACGATTAGAATTCGCACTTTCACCTTTGTTTGTTTCCCAGTACTCGTAATCCTCCTACTTTGTCAGCGCCCAAGAACTGATAGGTGACAACATCTGCACTCTCTCTGCTTATGTGTCTGGGCATTAAGAGCGAATAGCGCTGAATAAGAACGCGAGAGCGTAGCACGTGAATCCAGTGAGTAGAGCTGCGTGGAGGCATGACCGATAACCAACTGGCGTCAATAGCAAAAATATTTGGTTTTGATACGAGGTGCTAATATTTTTACGCATTTTTTATGACTCCAGTGAGTGAGAAACCTGTGAGTGGGAGAGTGTGCGATCAGATAAGACACATGGACGCCCACAAAAATAGCACAAGCGATTAACAAATAAATAAAAACAAAGTCCGTGAATTACGTATATTACATTTGTGCTGTTAGAATTATAATTGTTTGCATTTCTTTAAATAAATTATAAAATATAATGCATATGTATGTTTGTATTTCTAAAGAAAGCTAAGCTGTGGCTAAGAAAAATTAATATTTATTGACAGTCCGGAAGCAGTAATATGAGAATGTGGCCCAGTAAGTTATCAATATCAACTACATACGACACATACATACATACGTGTACATATGTATGTAAATATGTACATACTTATGTATATTCCACATTGCATTCGATCGTCATAAATACCACCTACTACGTTAGTGACAAACGACTTGTTCCTAATTGAAGCCCATCAAGCGACCGGCAGACCCCAAGCAGCTTTTGCAGTTCTGTAAGATCAGTGAGGCATACAGAACCAGAACAGACGTGCTAATCTAATCTGCCTTAAATTAAATTGAAATGCATTTTGTGGATTGCACAACCAACCTATGGCACCTCTCGCCTTCCCCATTTGTGATACAATGTGTCAATTGTTTTTTAGCTCGTGCATCTTATCCAGGGTAAATATTGAGGACAGATCTTAACAAAGTATTATGGACATTTAAATTTGTTGCGCGTCGAGCCATACTCAGCTTGAATGTCATTTAAATAAACAGATGAAAAAATAATATTATAAATAACACTAAACATTTGTTTATATGCACTCACATTTTACAATTACGATTTGAACTTTAAGCTACATTTAAATATGAATGCCCAGGCCATAGACTGGCAATTAGAGGCCCACTACAACATTTTCTATTCAAAAACTTTTAACAAAAGCCCCAATTTTGCTATTTTTCTTTATTTTGTTACATTTTAAAAGGGTTAGTATATATATACATATATAATGTATACAAAACATACATAAGTATAGAAGTATATATTTTAGTAGTGAAATAATTTATAAAATTCTAGTTTGTTTATCAGTAGTATAATTCGGTATAGGGTATAAAATTATCACGATTATTATCAAGTTTTGAAACTTAACCTTCCATTTTTGTTATCGCCTCAATAATTTTTTTGATTATTTTATACATAGCTATAAAAGTAAATACATATGTATGTACGAGTATATACATATGGGGAGACTATCAAAATTTAAACATGAGCCTTGGCTACATCGTTGACCAACTTCGCCAGGTCGGCAACGCTGTCCGCATAGTAGTCGGGCAGTCGTTCCGGCGATGATTCCGCCCTTAGTTCACTGAGTGTGCAGCCACCGGAAAGTACGAGCAACGTCTGGAAGCCACATTGTCGTCCAAATTGTACATCCTGTTCGAGCATGTCTCCAATCATTAGCACACGCTTGGGATCTCGAATATTGTAATGCTGCAGAAGTATCTCGCCCAGTTCCTTGCCAGGCTTCCCGAGCGTTGCCCCTGGCTTACCCGTAGCCTCTACCAGTATTTTCTGAAAGGGCCCAGGTCCAATTATGCGCAAATCATTGCCGACGGGTAGCATCGTGTCTGTAGCGCCATGGATCAGAAGACAATCTGGATGGCGCAGATAAATGTGAGCGCGCAAAACCTTTGGCGATGTCAAGTTGAAGTCCACATCTAAGATGACGGCACGAACGGGCTCACGATCGAAGATATGCTTGGCCAAAGACCCAAAATTCTCTTTAATGAATTCGTTGGGCTGTGGCAAATAATTGGATTTATATGAACGTTTATTCTATAATACTTGTAGCTACTAACCCCATCAAGTAGCTGGAAACCTGCTTTGCGCAGGACAGATTTAAACGGTTCCGATGCTATAATGTAGATGAGTCCATCAAATTTTATTCTCCGCAAATATTCCACAATACTCTGTGCGGGATGCCATAACTCCGATTCACCAACCTTTATGCCTAGTTTCTGAAAGCGTCGCTCGTATTGTTCCATGCTGCGCACACTATTGTTGGTTATAAAGGATAACTCTTTGCCCATGCCCTGCAGAGCTGAGTAGCCATCGGCCACGCCAGGAATGTCGTACTCCATACACCAGACAACGCCTAAAGACGCACAAAAGAATGCTTGTTGTTGCTATAAAGTAAACACTTTAACAGGAAATTACCATCAATGTCGCTGAAGACGCGATCAAAGGAATTTAAAAAGCGGCGTCGCTGCTCCTGGCTTAGCTTCAGTATATGCTCTGGACGTTGGTCGTTTGGCTATTGTTAAAATGCGATAAGATTTCAAAACATGTGCTCAGCTACTGGCGCTATTTAACGGTTACTCACGGCACTCTCCATTTCGTGGTTTGCTGATAGTCTTGGCTTCTTCCGATAAACTGCAATAATTTGTTTCTGTAGCGGTTCAGAGCCGCTGTGTTGTGCCCTGCTCGCAGGTTTTTCTTCAACTAAACCCATACATGGAATAGTTCAAAAATATTAGCACTTCGGAACTGCTAGACTGCGCTTGCCGGCGACGCAGCTGCTGCGCCATAATCAAAACAAATAATTGTTTATTGTTTGCTTGTATCGCCTATCTGTGGTTACTCATGCTTAGGCGATCTCTCTCCCCCATATTCAGCGTTTCTAAATAATTCTCCTGCGTTCAGCTTAATAAAGAGAATAGATTTTGGTCTGTTCTTCGACAGAAAGAGCGAAAAAGAATTAGAAAAGCTTAGATGCTTTGTATCTACATAGCTCAGTATAGAGTAAGGCCAAAGCAGCATTTGTCACGTGAGATTATCGTTTTACAATAATGGTCATATAAATAGACTAAACAATTCAGCAACGGGACGAACGCATTGAGAAATCATTAGAAATATTGCAAAATTAATAAAATAAATTGAATTTACTTAATTTGTCCACAAAAAAGTGATATTAGAAATATGCTCAGATTTTTACAGTCAATCAGTTTTATTCAAGTTATTTGCTTTAAAATTACCATTCTACCGATAATATACCTGCAAAGAATTTGAGTGCCAATGCTAATGTTTATTAACTATAAAAGTATAAACTGTTCTCATTTAAAAATTTATTAAATACTAATACACTTAACCCATAGTAGCACAACCATATCAAATATTGACAATTTAAAAAAATTTAATTAAATAAAATCAATACAACTCCGCTTGATTTGAGTATCTACTTTTTCATTTATATTTTAAGTATAATATAAGTGTACACATTTATAAAGCTTTCAGATGATAAGCTTATCTATTTTCTGAATGTTGGCAACGTTTATTGATAACAAATATAATTTCATGTGTTGTTGATTGTGATAGAAAGATATCAAAATAGTATTAAAAAGTAAACAATACGTTGGTGCACTTGATATATGCAAGGGTGTAGGCAAGGGGGGCCATTTGCCCCTCCCCCCCTAGAAAAAATGTTGCCATATAAAGTCGACCACAAGTTCATTAATATGACGCACTATTTCGCCTTTAAATTGATCTGAGTTGGATTTGTTGAAGTTTTTTCATCACATTCATAAGTTATTTTTTAAATGCATCGTGCATTATTTAATCAAAATTTTAATTTTTTGGTTTTTGCAAACCATTTTTTGATTTTAAATCAGAGCTGGAAAACCGAAAGAATTCGAGAATTATGCACCAACATGTGTACAGATGTCCACATGCATCAATAGGACTAAGTCTTAGTTGAATGCAATTGAAAAAGTGTCCTTATAAACATATCCACATCACGTACGCGACTTTTGCCAATTGCAGAAAATTGCACACAAATTATATCAATTTCGGAACGTAATCATTGAAACTTATCAATTTTTTCTGCACTGCTAGCGGCACAGAGACAACGCGACAGACTTGGCAAAAATGTGAAAATCAAATATTTATGATACGATTCAATAAATCTTTCCCTACGGCAAATGTAAACTACAAATTTTCTTTGACGCAGCGTAGAATTTGTGTTATTCCGTTTCTCTTCGCACAGATTTATGAGCAATTGCATGGCGTGGCAAAAATTCAATTTAATTTTCATTTCATGCCTTGCTTGCAAGGTTTCTTATAAATGTTTGAAAACGCAAATGGTGCGCATATACTATATAGATGTATATATGTATTGCTTTGCAGGAATGTTGCTGCTGAAAAGAATACATGTATATATAACCCAACCCAACAAATTAAACTGTTAAAATGTCAATGTTCAATATGGAGATCCTTAAATTAAATTTTAAGTACACAATTGGTTGAATAAAATCTGTGATTCTCTGAAACAAAGAGGTCGCTTTCCCTTCGTTTCTGTTCCTACTTAAATTGTTGATTGAATAAACTGTCAATAAAGCCCTCTAATTTAATAACGCACACAGACAGATCTCAACGGCAATTATGACAAGGCCTTATCCAGCAATAAATATAAGCAATCCGGACAAATTTGGAAGAATGTTTTTGCTGCTGCGAGCTTATAAATTGGATCGCCTGTGGCGGCTGGATTTAGGCATTGACATGTGCGCAAACAAAATCAATAGGACAAGGAGAAGACCACGGAGTGATGAAGGCGGCAGCGCGAACGCAAGCCAGAAACGGATGTGTGTATGGGTGGACCATTAAGAACAACAAAAACCACAACAACAGCGACAGCATCCAATTCTTTTGTGGGCCACACACTCAGGAATGCCCTTTGAGGGTGGGCCCGATGTGTGTGCTGTGAAACGATGCGTAGCTGTTAAAAACGACCCCCATAAAATAACACGATAATGAGTGGAAACTCGGAGGCATAGTGCGAATAAGTTCTCGCATTGGCATCTGTAATTGTAGCCAAGCATTCGATAATGGTCATTTCATGCAGTGTGGAAAATTCTTCGCACACTCTTCTTAGCCATGTTTTATTTTGGATTAGCGAGAAACTTTAGTTGGGGCTGCCGCAGTGGAGTTGACACAGACAAATCCACAGTCTTGGTGGAGCTCTACAGCATGTCAGTGTCAATAGTTTGCCGACAACCAAAATAAACGAGCTGGCATTCAATACGGCATTCGTACCCGTATCCCTGCTACTTAAGTAAGCTGCAGTTTAATCCTGCGCCAACGGGCATTGCATGGTGAAATATATTGGCAATATGCTGCAGTGTACAGTTACAAATGTCGGGGCGGAACGCCAATAAACACGCAACGACATTTTAGCATAATGCATGGCAAGTTCTCTTGAAGCCAAAACTAACAACACGACAAGAGCCAACTGAATGTCTGACACTTTGATGGCTTTACGTTTTGTGGGCTTGGATGTGGATGCGAGTGCGAATGCTTATGTTTATGTATATGTGCCTGTGATTGTAGTGGAACTGCGAAGGCAGGACACATTGAGAAAATGAAGCATTCTTTATGTGCGGTTCGATGGATGGCTCGTTGCAAATTTTGTTTTCTTAAACAAATGCAGTTTCAAAGGACTTATCTCTGAAAATGCATTCCCGAAGCCAATTTGCATACTTCCAGTGTATCAAAATTCCCCTTCTTGCAATATATACAAATGATGCACTAACAATAAGCTATTGATATGATAAAATAAAGGCTTAGTTCTTCTAATGAAATTCAATTAGCTGCCGTTTGACATCAAGACGATGTTTTTAGGGTGCAGTTTTAAAACCATTTGTTTTTACTTTTAAAAAAGTGAATGCACAATAATAGAGACAGGTTTGATTTTCTCAGAAGGCACTTAAATACCCATACCAGCATCAATAGAGGGCTCTTTGGGAAATTTTTTCCGCGTTACTTAGGAAAGTACCGAATAAAAAAAATCATATGATAAATTTAAAACCAGAGATCGCGCAGCGTAAATCGAACATTTAGTTAAAAACGATTTAAATATGGGCTTAAATAGTTTAAATAAAATTATATTGAAATGCCTATTAAGCAAGAGGTTATGCCACAGCTGCACCAAGCAATGGTAGCTAAAACGCGTATTGGGTCTGAAGTTTGTATACTGAAAATAAAAAACCCTATATTTTATTTTCAATACAAATATATACTTTTAAGGTTATTTTCAGTTTAAGTTTGTACAGAAATTAACGATATACTTGTTCTGACTCCAGTAGTAGTTTGAAAAGTAGACGTTGAACGCAAGTTTTGTAAATGGAATTTTTTTTAGAAACCTAAAAGACTGATTATGAAAAATAATTATTGGACTACATTTCAATTTAGCATGACGAGTATCAAATCAATAGTATATATATACGGGCTTTAAGCCACTTTTAAAAAACAAAGTGCATTACAAAAGTGTCGCGTGACTTAAGTGTAATTAAATATTTGCAACATTCTTCTTTGTCTTGAGTATAAATTATTATTTATATATTAATACGCAATACTTTTTAAATGTAACTGTACAAAGAATGTTCTGCATATACTTTATATTTATAGGATGTACGCATATGAGGGCTGGCATGCGGTATTACCTATATGGAATGGCTATGCGTTTCAATTAGTGACCTTTTGTTTAGCGAACCCATTCGATGTTGTTGTGTCAATAAGGGTGTTGGCTCTAAGCTTGTATATGTGTGTGCGTACCACTTTCTCCTTATTTGTATGTATAAGTAGTTCATGTGGCTTGAAACAACAAACATGGCCTTATTTTAAGCAGCATCGAGAAGATGTTTTCTTCAGGCCCGGCAAGTGAAATTCTATGCCCGTAAAATGTTTGCATAACACTTATTTTTAGTGAAAAGCTCGCAACGTCAGGCGCGCGACCGCGGTAGTTCATCTTCACATACTTACATACATATACGCATGTATGTATAAGTACATGTGCATAGTCGTACAGATATTAGTATGTACATAGTTGCACATGCATATACATAAGAGCTTTGCCGTCGTCATTCAAGAGCATATTAAACATAGCCAATGGCATTCTAGGCGTCTCAAGTGTTGGGCACGCTACGTCTTGGGCAAACACATAGACAAAGGACGACGGCTGCTGCAAGTGCGAGGAGGGCGATTGATGTCGCAGCTAAATCTGCCACCGACTCAAAATATGCAACGCGCCTACCTTTGTCAATGCCAAATCAAATGCAACAGAAAATGTGAAAAATTACAGCGGGATGTATATTTTATACTACAGAATAAAAATAATTGATTTTTATTTTTAGAGGTAAAATACTGAAAAATAAAAAAAATGTACAGAAATATTAATTATGCTGACAACGAAATTTTAAAAGCAAATGTTTTTGCGCATTCTCTTAATGTTTGTATGTACATACATATACATTAACATATGTATGCAGAAATGCTTTTACAAAAAACGTTGCATACCTTTGTGCTGCAATTTTAATTTTCCAAACCTAATTGTACTTGACAGATATTTTTTAGTAAAAATTTACAATCTGTAGTTGACAGTTACAAAATAAATTCTTTGATTTCAATGTTAGGACCTGCTCTCCAGTGCATATAAAATG